AAGAAATAATTATAAGTTGTGTTTTTTTCTTATTTCAAAGTATAACTTAAACTAAATTAAACAAAGGACAATTCACTTCTTTTAAGAACTAAACTCACAACTACACTGTAATATTATTTCCTAAAACTACTAATAATGCTTAAATAATTTTATTATAATTTGCCTATTATCATGGTAAGGGAAAAAGTACCAAGCATGTAAAACTATTCTATTTAAGTGAACAAACCATCAAATTCTGCTAAAAAAAACAACTGTAAACTGTATATTTTATTTGAATTGAGATTTTGATAAGTTCAATTTAACAATCTATTTTATATGTAGACAAATTTTTTTGTGTCGACCTTTTCATTCTTGCCAACACATTAATTATTACATTGTTAGATATAGTAACTTTTTACGTAATATCAACTTAATCATTCTATTGTGAATCTTCCAAAATTTTTAAGCTATATCAATTTAACCGTTTTTTTTGTGTGTGTGTTGATTCTCCGAAGTTTTTAGAGTATACCTTTATGCTTATTTACCCGTTCTTCTCTTTACGTGTCAAATTATTTTACCTCATAGAGCTCCCTCCTCTTTCTTAAGCACTGTCGTTATCGCACTCAAATAATTATTTTCTTTACAAAAGTGACGACACTAATGCTAGAGACATTTCTTAGGCCTAAGGTTAATTTCAATTACTATTAAAATACCCTAAGTTCCTTACTGTGGGTCGGGAGCTAGGTGTAAGACGGTGGGAAAGTAATTGTTGATTGATGTTATCACACCCACAGCAATGCTGGACCCAAGCACGAAGACGAAAAGTACCAGAAATCCTATAAGTGGTTTCCTGAAGAAAAAAATTAATGCATCTTATTAAAGGAAGTCGAGAGAACTTTTTATTTCCCAGAATCCAAAGAAATGTGTAAGTTACTTGAAAAACCAAACAGAAAAACGATAACCCCCAAAATGGATCAGAGATAAGTTTGAAGGCTTATAATGCTAAAAACCTGGTGTCGATACCCGTGGTTGGCACAGGTAGCCCATTATGTAGGCTTGTTCTTTACGGGGTTTGCTATAGCCTAGTACTTAGGACACTTGACTTGCAATCTGAGAGTCGCGGCTTCGAATTTTGTCCCCGAAAATGCTCGCCCTTTCAACCGCGGGGGCGTTATAAAGTAACGGTCAATCCTACTATCCGTTGGTAGAGAGTATCCCAAAAACTGAGGGAGAGTGAAGTTGACTAGCTGTCTTTTCTCTAGTTTATCACTTCAAAATTAGGGACAGTTAACACAGGTAACCTCGTGTAACGTTGAGCGAAATTCATAAACAAATAAAATAGTGCCTTACAAGAAACAAGACGATAACAGTGTTGTGATACGAACTGATTCACATGACAACGTTATTATTTACTATATTTACCTTTTTCAGTAACAATGAGAACGTCTCATTGTTTTTTACGATTTGTGTTAAACATTCCAATCATTCTTAAACAAACGCACTACTTTCTGTGTTGAAATGTGATTCAAGATAAAAATATTGAGTCAAAAGAAACTAGATTTCAACTTATTAATAAAGATTCTAGTTTCTTAAAATATTTATACCCATTTAAATCTATGTTGCTAAAGAAGTTATGTTTCGTCTACTATTCACTGCACGAGGTTTGATAATAATATAAATTATCTTGTCATTTGGTGGCTTAAGGGTATATAATGACAGAATTCGGGGGCTCAATCTTTCCGGCGGACTCATTTTTCCCTTTTTTATTAGCTATATTTTTATGCCCAGGGCGTGCGTATACCCTAATTGATTTTATTACTCATCAGGATATCTACCAGCCAATCCTCAAATTGAAATTCTTTTAGGCAGGATTAGAGTAAATTAATCTATGAGACCTTTTGGGCATGGCCAAATACATCAATCAAAAGTGTTTGAGTCCAAAACCTGTAATTAGATCTCAAATCGGTCAAGAGATGACGGAGCTATGAGCTAAATGTTTGTACATGGAAAACTCAGAGCCGTTATGCCGCGGCTATAAAGTTGTGTTGTGTTTAACTATAGTTTTACCAAATGTGTGGCCAAATTAAAGTATCCCAGCGTGACCAATTAACGTCATAGTTTATAGCTAAGTTCGCGATAACTTTTATTAATTAAGGCAATTCTGAAGACACAGTTTTATGTTTTATTATTTTCATAATAATCTCTTTCGGAAATAAACCGTGCAGTGACGTAAAACTTTCATTAATGAGCCATCTTATCGAACCGTGTTACTATGTAGAAATTTGACCAATGAGTATTCATAATGAACCGTGTTGTGAAGTGCAGCTTTTCATGGATGAGTCATCATAGCGAACATTATTGTGCCTTAGAACTTTCAACAATGAGCTGCGTTGTGACGTAGAACATTCGTCGATAATTTATCGCAAAAATGTTTGTTTGTTTTATTTAATTTTGTGCAAAGCAAGCTACTCGAGGGCTATCTGCACTGGCCGTCATAATTTTGAAGTGATAGACTAGAGAAATGGCAGCTAGTTAACAATATCCACCGTCTTCTCTTGGGTTACTCTTTACCAACGACTAATGCGATTGACCATCACATTATAACGCCTCCACGGTTTTACGGGCGAGCATTTTCGGCGATGGGCTCGTTCTCACTACCCACAGTATGCAATTCGAGCGCTCTAACCATCAGGCTATGCTAGATCCTCCATCGTAATGAATCGTGTTACGATTGCTACTTTGACCAAGGAGTCATCGTAACGCACCAAAATGAGACGTAAACGTTCATGAATGAGTCATCTTAACAAACCGTGTTACGATGTGGAACTTTCGTAAATGAGTTATCGTAAGAAACCGTATTGCGACGTGTGTTTTTTTTTTTTTGTGGTTTGAAATTAAACATAAAGCTACACAATGAGCTGTCAGCGGTCTGCCCACCACGGGTATCGAAACCCCGTTTCTAGCGTTGTAAGTCTGCAGACATACCGCTGTGCCCCTTAGGGTCTGGTGACGTGAAACTTTGATCAATGAGTCATCTCAACTAACCGTGTTATGAACTGGATCTTTCATTAATACGTCATCGTAAGAAACCGTATTGTGACGTGAAAGTTTCGTCAACGAGTCATCGTAAGGAATTATGTTATAACGTGTACGTGAAATTTTCGTGACTGCGTAACAAAGTGGCGTGGTATAGAACTATATATTAATTTCGATCACTATAATATGAAATGTGCTTCATCATAATTTGTCTTCTTTAAGATTCTTACTTCTATGATACAATTCAAACTAACTTACCAGAACAAAGGAATCAAAATCAGCAGGGATATAAGGTGAAGTTGCATGTCAACACAGAGATACCACAAGTGTGGGAGGCACTAGAATAGAATAACAACAAATCAGGTTTAAACATAAGAAAAATACAGGGTTGTCCAACATTTAATAATTAACTAACTAAGGAAATACAACCTTGCGGTTTTCAACATCTTGTATCCCAACTCAAACACTTTTTTATTGACATGTCACTAGACTTCTACGTGTGCACCATTAGTGACTCTAAGCACATGTAACCGATATTCGATTTCAGTCCGAGTTCGCTGCAATATGTCAACAGTTACAGTGGCGATGGCGTCCGTTATCCCAGCCTTTAGCTGCGTGATGTTTGCTATAGGTGTGCGATACACGATAACCCTAACATACCCCATACTTCTTCCCTGAACTGGCGTCTGTAATGACACTGCACCAGAGTCACTGACTTGGTCTCTGCAAGCCAAACGGCGCATTGAGCTTTTTCTTCCATGGTTGCCATTTTACCGAATAACACTTCTCACTGAAGTGAAAAAAAAAAAATGTTTTAGTTGGGCTACAAGATTAACTTACTCTAATCCTGCCTAAAATAATTTCAATTTGAGGGTAGGCTGGTAGAGACTCTGATGAGTAATAAAATCGAATCGGGTATACGAGCACCCCACGCTTGGTATTGCTGGGGCATAAAAGTATAGGTAATAAAAAGGAAAAAAAAAAGATCTCATAGATTAATTTATTCTAATCCTACCTAAAAGAAGTTCAAGTGCCGTGGCTATTGAGGATTCTCTCTTGTTTAAAATACCCTTGTACTGTTAGTCGTTCTGGCTTATAATGGTTATATACGTAGTAAAATATATAAATAAGTATAATTTATTTTCGTAACATTTCTTTACCAAGAATAAGAAAAACGAAGCTACTTATGGACTTGTTAATTTCTGTATTTTTTTATAATAATAACACAGGCCTGCGATGGTTTTATTGTCTTAATTTTTTTACATGTTCTACAGTTATTCGTGTACACTGAATCCGGAAATGATATCCATTTTTCTCCATCACGTACAGAATTTTCACCAAACGTCATATGTACTTTTACATAAGTGAATCATTTTCATTGAAATCGGGTCACATTTTGTTATACTTAAAAATGTTGACAACCACTGGTTATAGATTTCTCTAGACCAATCGCGACGTGAGAGTCTTATCGATCGCTCTAGAACCCAAACATAATAATAAATAATGTTCATTGTGGTCAACGAAATAATAATTTGATCTTAGTAAGAGTTTTTTTTCTTTCCGATTTGTAAAAAATCCTTACGTGGTAGAAAAAATATGAATATAATTTTCGAAATCCGCGTAGCTGAATTATGGAAAATCCTTTATTAAAACCAAAACAACTTTTTATGAAATTTACATTCGCAGGCCTGTGTTATCCTTCTCTGCTCTGTTATTACAATACAGTCTGTGATAATTTCACTTTAAAAAAATCTAGCTCTCTATGCAGTGTTACAACAGAACGATGAATTTCTTGACTTGTTGTGTAATTAGTAATCTTCTTTTATAGATGCTTTCAGTAGGCTCTTCAGAATTAACAAATAGGGAAAATGGGTAGCAATTGGCTAGTTCATAGTGACACCTATAGAGAAAGTCTGGTAGGACTAATCTACAAAAGTAGTAGCTCAGGTGGAAAAAGGACGAAGTTTCTAAAGTCTTTCGTCTCAAAGTCTATCTGTGCTCTGAATAATTTGATTCAAGTGAGAATTGTTACGTGATAAAAAAAAAGAATATTATTTTCGAAATCTGCGTAGCTGAGTTATAGAAAATCAGTTATTAAAACCAAAACAAATTCGCAGGCCTGTGTTATTAAACAGTTTCGATGTGAATTAGCGAAAGGACGTCTCGAGTATTCCTGGATCACAACCTGTTGGAACGTCCTGAGAGTGAAGACCAATTTCTATTACTCGATCAGGCAATAGTACTCCAATAGTAGGCAAAGGGTGCTTTTGAATAGCTGCCTTCCCACCATTGCGCAGGGAACTGTTGTTTAACTTTGCGCGAAATTTCGATACAAACAAATAAGGACTAAGGTCTTACTCTGTATTTATGGTCCCTCCAATTACTGATATACAGAAGAATTGCCCACCAGGATGCTTTACAACGTTCTGCTTCACTTCGTACATGCATGTCCCAGAGAGGACCAGATCCCAGTCCTTCCATCAATATCAGAAGAGAAATGACCATCATTAGTGGTGGAGTCAATCTGTCAGAAGAGTAAATATTTCGCTGAAAAATGTAACTTTATTTTGTGTTGATGTAGGCTAATAATGGGAGAACTTTTTAAATCAACAGAGTTATTATATTCGTATTTTACACTTATCGTACCTAACCCTCGAGTGAATTAACTTTGCAAACAATCACGGTGAGTATTTTATCTTGCCTCGAGAATGAAATCTTTGTTAAAACCACATATCAAGAATTCCTTGAAAATTCTAAAGTCTTTAATCTTTCTTCTCCTCTTTTGTTTGTGCCCACCACGGGTATCGAAACCCGGTTTTTAACGTTATAAGTCAAAAACTTATTGCTGAGCCACAATTATAGTATTCTATTGATTGGTTTATATATATATATATATCTTAATTTGTCGATGAACTGGGTCTAACAATGTAAACCAAACAAATACCTTGTAGCCTAGAAAGGTCTCTTACCTGTTTTAATTACTTCAAATACACACAGCACTGTCTTTACATTTTATAAACTTTGTGCATTCAAATACAAAGCCACCCACTGGCACAGCTGTGTGTCTGCGGATTTACAACGCTTGAAACCGGGTTTCGATACTCGTGGTAGTCAGAGCTCAGATAGCCCATTGTGTAGCTTTGTGCTTAATTACAAACAAACAAACAAACAATCAAATACAAAATACCACAATGAAAAAAAAATGTTTCGTAGGCGAAGCACGAGTTTTCCCTCTAGTATTATACATGGGCGTCCGCAGGGGTGGGGGGAGGCGAAGTAGTGTGAAATCGTGAATTCAATAAAAAATTCATATACGTAAGCTGAATGAGTAAAGAAAGAATTGTGTTTCTCATTCTTCAGGTGAGGTCAAGTGCACCTTCTTGTCCCCCCCCCCCGCGGACCCCCATGGTATTATACTGTAAATATACTTTGAAGAAGATGGAACAGTTTTTTTTTAACATTATTCACCCCCCCCCCCACCAATGACTCAGCGGTAAGTCTAATGACTTATAACGCAAAATACTGAGTTTCGATACCCGTGATGGGCACAGCACAGATAGTCCACTGCGTAGCTATGAGATTAACAACAAAACAAACAAGTTAAGATGGTTCCTGAAATATGATACATTTTAATGTTATACAAATTATACATTGACAGAAGGTGTCAAACCTAGTTCTTTACGAATTATTTTATACGTAAAAATTAATACAAAAAAAAATCTGAAAAGAAATAATTGAGAAAGGGTTTTTTTCATACCTCCAGTATCTGTGGAATAGGTACAATCCATAATTCATTTTTCCTCCGGACTTCGTCAGCTGTTTTAAAGTGATATACGCCACTAGGACTCCACTAAGAAATAAAACAAAATTCTCAGTTTAACAATAACTAAATTGAATTATGGCCAATAATACCGAGGGTATGCAGTATGATAAATCAGTGCATTACAGCCGTTGTCAGTTTTGTTTCATGACAGTGTAGTCGCTCATATTACTTGTTAAGCTCTTAATTGTTAGATCTGTTTCATCAGAGATTTTTAATGACTTTGGTTTTGGTTTTGTTTAGAATTTCGTGCAAGACTACGCGAGGGCTATCTGCACTAGCCGTCCCTAATTTAGTACTGACAGATTGTTTTGAATTTCGTGCAAATTTAGTAGTGATAGACTAGACTGAAGGCAGTTAGTCAAAACCACCCATCGCCAACTCCTGGACTACTCTTTTATCAACGAATAGTGGGATTGACCGTCACATTATATCGTCTCCCACGGCTGAAAGGGCGAGCATGTTCGGTGACGGAGATTCGGATCTGTGACTCTCAGATTGCGAGTCGAGTACCCTAACCACCAGACCATGACAGGCCTGATAATTTTATATCGACTATTTTTAGAAAAAGCAAGGGTAGTCTTCTGGCATGTAAGATTTAAGGGTAGTCTTCTGGTATGTAAGATTTAAGGGTAGTCTTCTGGTATGTAAGATTTAAGGGTAGTCTTCTGGTATGTAAGATTTAAGGGTAGTTTTCTGGTATGTAAGATTTAAGGGTAGTCTTCTGGTATGTACGATTTAAGGGTAGTTTCTGGTATGTAAGATTTAATGGTAGTTTTCTGGTATGTAAGATTTAAGGGTAGTCTTCTGGTATGTAAGATTTAAGGGTAGTCTTCTGGTATGCAAGATTTAAGATAATATAAAGAACGTGTAACTTTACTGCTACAACGATGTAGATAACATAAAGAACATGTAACTTTACTGCTACAACGATGTAGATAACATAAAGAACATGTAACTTTACTGCTACAACGATGTACATAATATAAAGAACGTGTAACTTTACTTCTACAACAATGTAGATAACATAAAGAACGTGTAACTTTACTGCTACAACAATGTAGGTAACATAAAGAACATGTAACTTTACTGCTACAATAATGTTGATAATATAAATGTCTTTCATTATTTCAGTCAGTGATGAATGCTTGGAATGATTTATATCTTTCAGTCGTCAATCTTGAATAAACAACTTATACTTTATCCAACGTTTCGACATTACGTTTCCAGTGATATTATCCAAGCATTCATCACTGACTGAAAGATATAAATCATATTCAAGATTGACGACAAACAACTTATACTTTATCCAACGTTTCGACATTACGTTTCCAGTAATATTATCCAAGCACCTTTGATGTAGAGTAAAATGTTAAGCAGAATATCCTTTACCTCAAGAAGAAGAACGTATCAACGCTCACCCAGCCATTCAAGATCACTTCAAAAGCCACATTTTCTGTTGAACTGTTAAGATCGTTCAGGCTCCCTGCAGGAAGAGAATTTTATCCGTTAAAATACAGGTAACCTTCTGTTTTACGTCACCGTTAAAATTCAGGTAACCTTCTGTTTTACGTCACCGTTAAAATTCAGGTAACCTTCTGTTTTACGTCACCGTTAAAATTCAGGTAACCTCTTGTTCTACGTCGCCGTTAAAATACAGGTAACCTTCTGTTTTACGTCACCGTTAAAATTCAGGTAACCTCTTGTTCTACGTCGCCGTTAAAATACAGGTAACCTTCTGTTTTACGTCACCGTTAAAATTCAGGTAACCTC